AAGGAAGAGAGAGAATCCCAAGCCAGTTCTGCACTGTAAGCGCAGAGCCCAGCATGGGGCTTGGTCTCACAAATTCGTGAGATCATGACCTGAGCTGAAATCGGGAGTTGGACACTTAACTGACTGGGCCACCTGGGTGCCCCTGATCTATTTTATTTTCTGTCAAAGCATTGAGACTTGGAGGAAAGTTTTTAACTGCAAACTCATTATTTTAAAAAAGCTTATAGTATATTCAGGCTATTTTTTGAGTTAGCTTTGGAAGATTCTGTCTTTGAGAGAATTTGCCTATTACATCTAAGATGTTGAATTTGATGCCGTGAAGTTTTTCATAATACCCCTTTATTATTTTTTAAATATCTGTAGAATCTGTATCGATGACACGTCTCTGATCCATGATAACAACTTGTATGTTCTCTTTCTTTTTTCCTGATTGTTCTGTGTATTATCTTCCTATGGCTGTTGTAAAAAATCACTAAAACTTGGTAGCTTAAAACAGTAGAAATTTATTCTCACTGTCTGATGGCCTCACATTTGAAATTCGTTTCACTAGGTTAAAATCAAGGTGTTGGCAGGGTCATGCTCCCTCTAGAGGCTCTAAGGGGACAATTTGTTTTTTGCTTTTGCAGCTTCTGGTGGAACTGGCATTTCTTGGCTTATGGCTGCATCAGTCCAGTCTCAGTGTTCATGGCCACATTGCTTTCTCCCATCCTGTCCTGATTCTCCCTTTTCCATGTCAGAATCCTTAACTTAATTACATCTGCAAAGTTCTTTTATGCCATCTAAGGTAACATTAACAAGTTTCAAGGATTAGTTCATATGTATATCTTTTGAGGGGCTATTATTCAGCCTACCATAGTGTGGCTCAAAATTTATCAATATTATTTATATTACAAAGAACTAACTGGCTTTTGGTTTCATTGATTTTTTTCCCCTCAACTGTCTTTTTATCTATTTCCTGGATTTCTTTTCTACTCTTTATTATTCTTTTTATCTTGTTTATTTTGGGTTTCATTTGTCCCTCTTTTCCTGGTTTTGTAAAGTGGAAGCCATGGTCACTGCTGTAAATTTTCCTCTGTTTTACATTAGCTGCATTCCACGAAATTTCATTTGGTGTGTTTTCATATTCTTTCAGCTCAAATACTTTCTGATTTCCCTTTATTTCTCTTTTCCATGGAAATGTATTGTTTAGTGTCCAATAAGGAGGGGATTTTCCAGTTCAGTTATTGATTTCTGTATTAGTTTCTTTATGGTACAAGAACATTCTTTGTGTGACTTAAATACCTTTAAATTAATTAAGACTGGTTTTAGAGCTGAGAATATAATCTATCTTGCTAAGTATTCCGTGACATTTACCATTCATTTACTGTTGGAAAGAATGTGTATTCTGCTCTTGGTCAGTAGAATGTTGTTTAAATGTCAGCTCAAGTTTGTTGATCATGTTGTTGAAATCTTCTGTATCTTTGCAAATTTTAAGCCTACTTAATTGTATGAGTTATTGAAAAGAGAATGATGAAATATTTGAGTATGACTTTGGGTTTCTCTATTTCCCCTTGCTGTTGTATCAATTTTTGTTTCATATGTTTTGAAATTCTTATTAAGTGCCTCAACATTTAGGATTGTTATGTCCTCCTGATGAATTAGTCCCTTTGCTGTTACAGGTTGTACTTTCCTGCCTTTTTGCATGTCTGATAATTTTTTATTGTATGCTAGACATTATAAATTTTATCTTACTGTTGAACTTTGTTCTCGGATGCTATTCAATTCCTTGGAAGCAGGGGGTCTTGATTTTTAAACTCTTTTGGATGGTACCCAAGCAGTGTTTAATCTGGGTACTTTTGATTACTCTTCCTTACACTCTAGATCTTTCCCTCTGATTGGTACAAACAAGTCCTGGAGTGGAATTCTTTAATCCCTTCCTGCAGCTCTTACTCCTGCCTTGAGTAGTTTCCTCACACATACCCACTCAATGGAGGAATACCCAAGGGGGACTGCAGATCTCCATTGTCCCCTCTCTGTGAATTTCTCTCCACTCTGGCACTCCACTCTGGCAAGTCTAGCTGCTTTGGCATCCCTGCATTCTGAGCTGCATCCTTTCAATTCAGGGAGACCACCAGGGTCTGCCTAGCTTCCCCTCTTTGTATTGTGTCCTGGAAACTTTTTTTGAGGCATTAAGCTTGGGCAGTCTTTGTTGGGTTCACTTCTTTTGTGTCCTGAATCTCAGAGGTCACTACCCTTTGTTGCCTGTTACCCATTATCATGAGAACTATTGTCCAATACATCTTTCATGACTTTTAGTTGGTTTCAAGTTGAAGGGAAATCTGGTAACCATCACTCCCATCTTGTGTGGAAGTGGAAATCAGGAGCTGGATTTTATTCAGAGTGAGTTCTAGTGCATTTTTAATTACACCTGGAGAAACATCTGTAGGCTTGGCTCATAGACAGCCATTAACAGGAATGGCTACACTTGTAGGACTGTCCTTTTCATCCTTGCCACTGGAGTACCTGCCACACTTGGACAGCCATTGTGAATATTAGTATGAGGTGTTCAGAATGGAGGAAAAGATGAACCTATGTTTGGTTCTTTCATCTGGTGTTTTAGTGTATGTTATATTTTGAGTCCAGTAGGTTTTATTGTGTGGGAATTTGTGTCCAAAGACAAATAACTTTTTAAAAATTGTAAAATGTTTGTATACACTAAATGTTTTTAATTATAAAAATCAAATATAAGTAGAGCATGACATTTTAAATTTTCACTTACAAACATTCAACCAATTAATATGTTTGATCTTTTTCTTCTGCCTCATATCTTCTGTGATACAAAAATTAATGATAGTTTGCATTTAAGTCAATTTTACTGCCTAATAAAGCTGGTTTATAATTTTAATGAAAGGAAATTATTTCCTTTTACTTATGCATAATCAGATGTGCACTACTGTGACCAGAATTTATCTGTATATTAAAGCCATTCTAATAACAGAACAGCTATTGTTTATTTTTAGCAGGAAATCAAAACCAAGAAAAAGCTAAAAAACTCAGTATTTTAAAAACTAGGAAATAAATATGTGACATTTATACAATAGTATATATCTTGTTATTTATACAAGTCAAACTTTAATCCTAATTTGTCCTAATTTTCTCTTTATTTTTCTGTCTCCTAAAATCATTATTACCTAGTCTGTCCATCAAATCATGGAACAGTTTAATAGTGAAAGTAGGCACAGCTGCCCACAGATTATAATAGATTCCTTGCAAAACACCGGTTTCTCATCTGTGGAGGTTTAGTACTAAAAGCTGAAAAAGGGTTTTATTTTTGTGTTGTCGTCATTGTTTTAAATTTTCCATGGTACACAAAGTAAGTGATAATATTTTTCACTTAATTTTTTTTTTATTTATGGAAATTGGTGTATCATTTTATGATGCTGTGTGTGTGTTTTTCATGTTGTGGCTCATTTACAGATAGCTGAATTTGCAGGCGAACCTGCTACCTTTCAGTCAACTGATCCAGATGTATTTCAGTATTGTCACAGTAAAGCTTTGAAAATCTACCTATTTCAGCTTTTCTGATACACTAGGCTTAAAACTGCTTTACTTTAAACTAAAACATTTGACATTAAAATACTTTCACCCTCCTTTCTAAAGGGGTTGTCACTGCATTAAGCTTTGAATGACCATAAATGCTTCTCTGTCCGTATCCTGTCTTACCATTTCAGGACAAAATCATTTGCAGTAAATCAAGTTTTTCATGTGGTTTTAATCACATGCATGTAGAGATGAATATTCTCACTCTGATAATGTTCAGTTCTAATTAATACCCTGGCTCAACGTCCCATGTTAACTTTTATTGCCAAGACAACAGCATATTTTATTCCATTTTTGTGAACTGGGATATTAGATTTCCTAAAGGTTGCTGAAATGGTAAAATTTCTTTGGATTTTGAACTTGACTTGGTTTAGGGTTTACTAATGAAACTTGGCCTCCAGGAAGAATTCCTCTAATTAAGCAATTAACATTCCAGTGATCCTAGGCCATCTCTTCTAACAGCGGGAATACCATAGGTCCTGGGAGTCAACCCTGGCCCCATGAGGACACTGTATAGAATGCCTCTTCAAGCTAAGGTAAAGGTGTGCTTGAAGTACTTCTGGGACTAGAAAGGGCAGTTTTAATAATTATGCCCAGACCATAGACGTCAATAAGGTTAGTTATCTTACATATGACCTCTGTGGTTCATATCTGCAGCTTTCCAAAATTGATGTAGTGTTGTGACATAGAGACCAACGCATCTGTGCCATTTGGAAAGCCCATTTGTATTTTAAAAAGATCACTGAATGCCCCTTAGGGAACTATTCAAAATCTAGAAAAAAATATATTTATATATATTTATACCCCTATGTAATTTTTTTCTTTTACTATCTTTTGGGTAGCATTTATTAACAGTATACACCATATAAACCATAACCAAGTCTGATACCTTGCCCAAATTTCTTAACTTTAATTGAATAGGTTGGAAAGAATTTTGTTACTTAAGTCAGATAAATTGGAATGAATTCTGTTCCTTGTTTAATTGTTTTTAATGAATGCCATTCTTTTGGTTGATTAAAGCAATTTGCCAGTGACTTTGTAAGTAGTCCCACATTGAATGGATTTTTAAATAATAATTGCCAAGAAAGTGGAAAAATGAAGAGTAGTTAATGCAGTTTGTAGGGATTTAAGGAAGAATAATTTCTGACAGTTCCAATTATGTAGGTCTTCCTAGAACCCATAAATTGCTTTAACTTCAGTTGTTCCTTGTTGCTTTTACAGCTTAAACTCAAGTATATACTAAATCTGTTTTAGAAAATACATCGTGCCCAGATTTCTGTAAAAGTATATACGTTCTATTTTATAATGCCCAGTTATGTTGACTTCACAGAGATTTGGGGAAATTAATCCTAATGGGAACAATGACTGTGGGAGCTGAAAATAATAGATGTGTCCTTCTTTTTCTTTCTTTTTTAAAAAAGCTGGACCTGTGATCTGCAGAATGCTGAGTTATCCCCCAACTCGCCGAGCTTTAATTGTGGGTTGTGGTCTGCAAATGTTCCAACAGCTCTCAGGCATTAACACCATCATGTATGTATTTCTTTCCTGGCTTTTTACTGAAAAGGAATTGTGAAGGAATTATTTTACATGGAAAAAAAAAAAAAAAAGAATAGGACTTTTGGTGTTTTGTTGTATTAATTGTGTAGGATCCTCCTTTTGGAAGATACTTTGCAATTTTTAATCCTGTCAATGTGTGGTTTAGAAGGAGGTGATTTATATTGTTATATTTTATTGCCTTATTTGATATCATAAATTTCTTCTTGTACATCATCTGGTACTTCCTTATATTCTGAGCTAATGAATGTATCATTTTCATAAGCCATTACTTGATGCTGGTTAGAAAGTGAAACAAAAGGGAATCATCTGGCCTTGCCAAGGATTAATGGGCATTCAGATTAACTAGTTTGTTTCTTTTGGGAGCAGTTACAATACAATGTGATGAAAACATTAATAGAAGATGTTTATTACCATCAGAATGGGAAGACACAAAAGTTTCATAATGTCTAGTTTCAGATTAATCCCCAAAGTTGTATGGGTTTGGGAGGTGGAGCAGGATGAATAGGTTGTAGCATGTTTCATTCATTCAACATTAAACACATTTTTTAATGGCCTATTTTATACGAGACACACAGGAATGAGTAAAGTAGACATGAATAAATTCACAGTTTAATATAGAATTTCAAATTGTGATAAGGGCTGGACAGGACTATTCCAGTCCTCCAGAGAAAAGACTTTTAAGATCCTAGGTAATACAACATGGGTTAGAGGAAAGTCATGAGTTTTGCCAAGAAATTAGTTGTTGGGTGAAAACCTGCTAAATCTTGGAAAATTCTCCCCCACAACCTATTGGCTAAAATTATTCACCAAAAAAATGCAAATCATGTAAAATTCAAATTTACTTGGTAAACCATTTGTATTTAGGACTCTTGATATCTTCCTTTGAAGTTACTTGGGATTATGTTTGTTTTCTGGATGAGGTGCACCACACTGGTTCTGTGTCTACCATCCTAAGTGTGGTGATGGAACAGAATTGTAATGAGGCTCATACTTTCAAATAATGCAGTGCAATGATATCCTATGTGAATATCTATTTTATCAACCCAACTTAAAATATATTCTCTGTTTCTGTTGTTTGTTCTGCCCTTTTCTAGGCATTTAAATTTGACAAAGTAAATTTTTGTTCTGCTTTATTGTATTCCTATAAAACATCATCAACAGAGCCAACTCTTATTGATGGGTAGTGGCTGAGGCCAGTGTGTTCCTAGTTGAAATGGCTGTCATAGTCCATTCACAGATATCTAGTGTAAACCATGATGATTAAGGTTTTTAATTTTTTAAAGTTTATTTTATTTTGAGAGAGAGTGAGAGAGATAGTGGGGGAGGGGCAGAGAGAGAGGGAGACAGAATCCCAAGCAAGCTCCGTGCTGCCAGAATAGAGCCCCATGTAGGGCTCCAACTCACGAATCATGAGCATGCCCTGAGCCGAAATCAAGAGTAGAATGCTTAAATGGCTGAGCCATCCAGGCACCCCAGGGTTTTCAGATTTTAATAAGGCATTTATTTCTCCAAATACTCAGTCTTTTCACAGTGAGATCAAGTGATATGAGTCTAAGAATCCTGATATTCCTTAAGATTTATGGTAGTCATTATGTGCTTTGCTTAGCACAAACTGTACATAATAGAGGTAGCATTGTCAAACAGCTTTTGCTTGCAGTTGAGTATTAATCCTGGAAAGTAGGAAGAATAAAATAAGGTAAATGATGGCTCAATTTAGATTGCTTCTACGTGATGCAAAACAGATGGCCAACTCCCTGAAGAAATTAATACGACATTTTAATGTCTGGAGGTTAGAGGGTTAGACACTTAAATGAAAGATGCCTATGATAAATAACTGCTGGTTATTCATAATACACAGTTTCAAACATTCATATTTTAAGCCCATAAAACTTAATGCAAATCTTTCATTATAACAGACTGCACTACTGTCATCATCTGGATGGAAGATGACTAATCTGGGAGTCATTCCTATAGTGTGTTATCCTTTACTCTTTCTAGTCTGTATTGGTGCGTGTGTCTTTCTCCATTCTTAAGATTCAGTAAATACTATCGTAAGTTTTGTTGCCTCTAATTTAAAATAATTTCTTAACTGGAATCTAGTAGTTTATGTTTTGTTTTTAGTAGAAAATATTAATTACGTATTTTTCTTATTTTAAAAAATGTCATTTTGTTAATTTGGAGTTCTGTTTTTATGGATATTCCATTATGTGTATTTCATTACTTTTTCTTTCCAGCTTTTTTCTGCTAAGTGGGAAATAAAGTAGGCAGTGCTCTTCAGTATTCACAGCCCAAACCTAATAATCTGTAGAAGTTGAAATCTTTTTACAAAGTCTGTCTTTCACCTGGAAGTTTGTGTGAAACTGAAATATGAGGTATTTTGTATTCTATCTCTCACCAAGAAAAGTTCATAGGAAGATCATATGGAAAGATACTGAAAGATAAATCATTCTTCCAGTTGCATTATATATCTTACCATGTTTAGTTTTGTCTGTTTTCCCTCATAGAATTTTTGTTTCTATCTCCTTGACCTATTTAGTATCCTACCTCAGTCAAGGAAATAGATTTTCTTCTCGTAATATTTAATTTTCACATCCTCTCCAATGAAAAAAAAAATTTTGTGTGTGTGTATGTCTAAGTATTTCTTATTCGTATAACTCGCATTTATATCCTAACCTATACCTTATCTGCTATCCTATCAAACAGTGAGCTTCTGAGTTCTTAAAAGCATTACATACTTTAGACACTACATTAAACTCTTAGAAGAAGCAATTTTCTAATAAGACTTTAATCACTTAATTTCAAAACATGTTGAATAGATTATTTTCTTTTCACAGTAGAGAAAGAACAGAGTACATGGAGTACTAGCTTTCCTAATATAAAAGTGTTGACATTATTGCACTATATCTCACAGACCAATAAAATATTTCCACATGTGTTAAAAAGGAGAGGAGTAATAGATGAAGTTGATGATGATTAACGTGGAGGAAACTTTCTTAAGAAACTCTCATTGTGATCTCTTCTAAGCTTCTACTTATAAAGTCAAGAAAATTTCCATTTCCTATCTAACAAATTTTATCTGGATGACTACTGATACTTTAACCCTTCCCACATTGTTATTACTACAGCCAAAATGTGTGTATATGTGGGAGGGAAAGAAGGAGAAGAAGTAAGAAAAATAAGGAAAACACCTGGCTGTTTAAAGGTTTGATAGCATGTTGCTTCTTTTGAGCAACTTATAAGCCGTATCTTGATACATTCTTATGAACATGTAATCAGTCCATCTTAGACGGGTGGGAGTTAACAGATTTTTACCTGGGAAGACCACCAAGTGGTTAAATGGCTCACTTTAAGGTTACACAGAAGATCAGTAGTAAAGAGGAGAAGGAAATCCAGAAATTTAAGCTTCTGAGTCAGCTTCAGGTAAAAACGATTGTGAGAGAATAGATTTCTTTCGGGTACTCTGTGCCAGTACTCTACTTTTAACCTATTCTGCTTTTAGATTAAGGTTCCAAGATTTCTCTCTTCCTACTCTTCCCTGTTCTACTAACTCAAAGTGGGAGTGGGAAATAGGCATTTATATTGGATGGGCAGTGATTCTTACTTCTGTAGCTGCATTCCCTTAATCCCCAGGTGATCTCTTCTTCTCTCATATTTACAAGAGATAATAAAGGATTTTGGAAAATATGCCCTTATAGTAATAATGTTAAGGGCTATCCTTCACTGAACATTAAATACCAGATATTCCTGTAGCATGCATTAACTCACTTAAATATTCACAGAAAATGAAAAAAATTAGGACAAAACTGCTAGCCCCTCTAATGGTATAATTATGTATTATGATCATGATAATAAACGTTTTTACCATGTTACATGTGTAACACTATAAAGTATTTTTATAGACACGATCTTTCCACATGTTCATAAATATCCTGTCAAGTAGAGCCAGTTCTTCTGTTTATTCTGTAGCTAAGGAGGCTAGGGCTTAACAAGTTAAATGACTTATTCATTGTCATCCAGTTAATAAGTTTTAGCAGTGAGGGTGGAACCCTGATTTTCTGACTCCAGATCACATGAACCACTCTAGTTTTAGAACACCTGAAATGCCCAGAGCTGACTGTTTAAAGCTTCTTTGGGGGTAATATAAGGTAAGAAATCAAAGTTAGTGGAACTCATTACCATCCAAGGATTAAAAAAGAATGTGGAATGATTGTGTGTATCCATCTCAGGAATCATAAAACTCATTACATTCTTTAATCTCCTGGTACCCAGTTAAGTAAAGCCTTTGCTTTCTACCCTTATCTAGAGTTCCTGGACAAGCCAGCCCAATCGATGACTGGGTGAGGCATTTATATTTGTTAATCATTTTCATTAATTTCATAAGGGCAGTATTTCTGTATCTGTTCCATTCTCATATTTTATCCTCAACAAACTCTCCTAGTATAAAAAATGATCATGCAGTCAGGAAACATGGTACAGCAAGCAGGCATGGGCAGATGGTGGTAAATGTAGAGACAAATAAAAGTGACAAGAAATAAGAGGAAAACAATAAGGATTTATGCATTCTCCTGTTGTAAATCGGAGCCAGAGGTGAGGTTTTGCTCTCGGAGATCTTCAGCAGGCAGGATGCATGGACCAAAGCATCTGCTCACTAATGTGAACATTCTTCTCTCTCCACCACCTCAGTCGGACTCTGAACATAATCCAGAAAAGCTGTTGAATGATAACATGCTTACCCCATTGAAATGCTTCAGGATGAGTGTATTTGTAGTCAGTTGTGTTCATTAGATGAAAGTGATTAAACAGATGAGAAATAGTGAAGGTTCAGGGTTCACTCCTTTGCAAGATGAGTTTAATGTGTTGGGAAGAATATTGGCCCAGGAATCAGGAGAGAATTAGTTTCAAAATCTGTCTCCACAGTGGGACTTTCGGCATGCCAGTTACTTGCCTTCATTCTAATTACCTGTCAAGTGAAG